ATCAAAACAAGCCACGTACGCGGGAGCACGGATGGGCACACGTCGGGGGAGCAGGCAAGTCTCGTTCGTCAGGCTGGTCACAATGGGCAAGAACATAAGCTAGTAACTTACACACTTTCCTAGACTATGTTACTACTTCCAAAGTGGGTAGGAACATCTATGTAGTGTCATGCAACGATGTATTTATTAGGTTATAGACTCATTGTTTCTTGGAGTGTGTGATGTTCCGGTAACTTAGCTAGTTACCACAAGCACCTCTCTCTTCATTAAATACGTGCCACATAAGCAAAGTTGTATTGGAGTGTGTGATGTTACTCCTAAGTTCCTCCCCACTGTGACCAGCCTCATAGTGGGGAGTAACTTTAGACTAGTAACATACATATGTTATTAGTCTATGTTACTACCTTTATAATGCATAGTATCATAAATTAGTACCATAGATGGTCTAATTTATTGTCATGCATGACACATAGTAGCATTATATTTATTATGTTACGATATCTACCTATGTTATTATAACCATCTCTCTCTTTTTTAATTGCTTGCCACATAAGCATGTTTGCGAGTCTCAAGGGCATGATACTACTTATGTTACCCCCATTATGACCAGCCTTAGTTTACCTCTGCCTGCCTCTGTTTCTGTCAACTGGTTTTGCTTTGTAGCCCTTGGATGTATGATTACTGTGTCACTGCCGTCGATAATGACACGTGTGGTCGATCAGACCTGCTAATAATAAGGCTGGTTGTAATGGAGAGTATCATATACTAGTATCATGCATATGATACTAGTGTATGATACTACATCTGTAGTGCTTAATATCATATGTTAGTATCATAGGATAGTCATTTATTGTCATGCAGGACACATAGTAGCACATCATTTAATATGATACGGTATCATGGTATGATACCCAACCCCTTTTCTCTTCATTTAATTTCATGCCACCTCATCAAAACTGCCTAGTTGTCATGCATGATACTACCTATCATACTCACTACGACGTCCTATGCTCATTTTTTTAACGAGAAGAGGCGCCTTTCGTTAAATGAAGCACAAGTTACAGACTTGACATATTCACAGTGTTTGATGTTCATATTCCTCAAAACTCTAAAAGACCTATGTGGGGTGTTAATAGGTTATGATATGGTGGGAAGTTCAGTACCACCCAGGTTTTGAACGAGAGTCAAGATCATCATACTCCTCTGAAATTTAGTACCGCCAGGTTGTGGGAGTATACTATAAGGTGTGGTACATACATGGCGTGTTTGGTTGCAGTAGCGAACAGTTCCTGCATCGCATACACTTCTCAATCTAGCCCGGTTGAGCAAAAACAAGCCCTAATGCGCCATCTGCAGGTTGTTTGGTTGCCTGCATCTAGTGTCCCTGCATTAGATAATACGCAAGTGCACTTTGTTTGGTTGCCTGCATTGGCCCAAGCGGCACATGAACACGGTGTTTGGTTGCATACAGCGTACATGATGTGCTTACCTTGTACCCTAGTTGGTGATCTTACCCACACCACAATGATCACACCTAGCAGCAATGACGATGAACTGGGCAAAGATGATGAAGTTCTTCAGCTTCAGCCCAAATTGACGATCCACCTAGCGCGTTCCACTTTGACACCTCCAACCTTGCCATTGTCAACACTGCTGCCTCCATGCTTTCACACCTAGTCGGAGTAAGCTTGTTCTACTACCTGCCTAGTTTTGAACCCTCTATGGCTGCTGTTGCTATACGTTGCCACTTGTGCACTGGCTTCTTTCCATGAACTGTAAACCCCTGGAGCCTTATCGATGAACACGGCAATACCACTTACCCTAGCAATGCACAAAATCAAGAGTTGAAGCAGCAAATCAATGGAGCACACAAGTAGCAAGCAAAGCAGCACACAAACAACAATGGAGCAGAAGAGAAGAAGTAAAGCATGCATGATCATACGGCATAGCAAGTTCTACCTATCACTACCTGTGTGTTAACCTACCACCACATTCAAAAGAGGATGTTGTCCTACCACCGCAAGTTCACCTTCAGCGTGAGGGGTTAGTATATACCACCTCACCAAAATATATAGACCATCAAATATTTTTTAGCCCTAGCTACACAAAATGTACGTTGTCATCATCATCGTCGTCGTCGTCGCCACCGCCATTGCCGTCGGGATCATGAACGCTCACAGGCAGCACTACTCTAGTAGTAGTGCTTGCCCAGCCAGCTCCTGAGCCATAGCACCCTATGAGTGTCTGCCATGGCAACGAACCCAACACCCCGGGCCTTGTTGTCAAGCAGGTGGCTGAGAGCTGCCATGAGAGCCTCGTCGCTGAAGCCACCCTGGGTCATGACAGCTTCATACAGGTCAGGGTGGACGTCGAGGGGCTTGCACTACCTGATGGCTATTACCACCTCCTTCACCGCCTCAGTCAGGCTGCAAAATACATTGATCTCCTCCTCCATCAGGCCTCCTCTCTTCCTCTTCCTATCATGGACGGGGTCAAATGGCTTGTCGAAGGGCTTGTCAGGGACATTAAGGACCTCGACGTCCGGGGTCCCAGGGAAGTCTGGCATGGGAGAACCAAGAGGCTCCCCCGAGCCCATGGCATGCTTCCCAGTTGCTAGCCCAAAGGAGAAGATGTGCTGCATCTGGCTGTAGTTCTGTATGGGTGTGTTGAGGAACTCAGCGTCCCTTGGGTGGTCCTAAGAATGAAACACAAGTGTTGTTAGTTGCGATTAGGAGTAGGCAATGGTGGACAGTATGAAAAGGAAGAGGGTTGTTAGCTAACTGCGACATGGCCAGCATAGTGCGCTGCCTCCAGAACTATGAAGCAAGTGTACTCATCTCATGAGGCACCACTAAGTTCTCTCAGCTTGGACACTTGGATGCATCGACCTCTCCACTTCCTCAGGTGGTTGTACACCTGGGTGGCAGACACCTCCTGGCCACAGAACTCGAACACCTACTTCGCAACGGTGTTCAAGTGCACCTCCTTGAATCCCTTGTCAGTCCTAACTCCACTAGAGATGAGCTCACACATCTTGTTCAACACGAACATGGACATGAGAGGCTGCCACTTCATGTTGTTCGACCTACCATCCTTCTTTGCCTTTGTTGTTGCTACCTTGAGTGCAGCGGTAGCAGCAGCAGCAGGAGTTGGCTCAATGAGTACTACTGACACATAGAGGGAATCAAATGCGAACACCTCTGAATCAGGTGCCATCTCGGACATAGGCTGCGAATCCTCGACAAACGATGGAGCAAACTGGCTGTCGGACAGGACAAGGGCCTGACTAAGATCTTGCGTCTACGTGGTCATGTCCTACAATCGTAGCATGCATTGACAGTAAGCATAGCACACAACATATCAGACAATCCATGAAAGCAAGAGCATACATGTACATGGTTCATCACTATCATAGCAAGCACATGCTTCATAACTATCATACTAAGCACATGGTTCATCGCTATCATACTAATCATACCGGACAATCTATGAGCACGAACATACATCTATAACAAATAGCATGCTGCAAATGGACCACAAATAGCTGCAAATCACAGATCTAAGCACGAATCAACACAAGCACAAGGTTCAACTTCTAACTCTACTACTAATCTAGCCTACCACAAGCTTCAACATCTAGCCCTACCACAAATTGCAACCGCAACATAGCAACAACCATATGAGCTCACAGATCATACCACTAATCAACCATGCATCTAGATCAAACCCCAGCTACAGCTCAAATCTAGCTAGAAGGAACAAAGAGAAAGGGAGATTGAACTCACAAAGGCCATGGCTGTAGCTCGAGGATGAGGGAGGACGGTCGTAGAAGATCACCGTCGGCCGGTGAAGGAGCGCTGACTCCGTGGACCGCCGGCCGCTCTTACCTGCTTGTAGGTGCCGATGCGCGTCGGCGGGGAGCTCAAAGGGAGGAAGAATGGTGGCGGGAGTTGGGGTGGTGAGGGAGGGGGCTAAATAGGGGTGGACTCGGCGGGAGGTGAGCCGAAATCCTCCCATTAATTTTTTGGCGACGCGAGCGAGCTCGCGCCATCTCGCTGATCACACGAGGAGAGAAGCGCGTCGCCCCCCTGCCTCACCCGAACCAGGCTCGTGAGCTACTGCTGATTCAGGTGTTTCCCTTGGGCCTGGCCTGGACGTGCTTTAAGTTCCGTGCGATGCGGACCGCACAGTAAACGCAGGCAACCAAACGGGCCAAGTTCTTCCCGCGCGGACCAGGCTGGGCCATATGCAGGCGACCGAACACGCCCACAAGCTCCTTTGTTGTTGTCTGCTTCGCGTGCGTGTCATGTTTCTTGAACGAGTTGAACCCATGCCTATATGTCATGTGTGTGCTTTATTTTTGTCAGGGCCTAGCCCCACGTCTTCCTCCTCGCGCACAACTCATTATCATTCCTCGTTGCCGTTTTTGACTATCACATCCCGTCGACCACGTGCACAGATGTATGAGATAGTAGGCCTTTACAACCGGGAGAAGGACGATTAGACTTTTGAAGGAGCGTCTCAGGCGTGGCTGCTTGCCGTTGTTCCACTTTCCTCAACCTCTCCAAGAACGCCATGGGTGGAAACTCCAAAGCCACCAAGAAGAAGGTCACCGATGATGTTACGGATTTGTCCTGACCTACTGGAAGGTATAATAAGTTCATCCTATATTTATTGGTTCATGTGTTGGACGTACTTGTTTTTATAGATATTTCAATTCTATGATTAGTACGTGCTCACATATTTAGGGCATTTCTAACCGATTCCTTATAACCGGTTAGAGGAGTAAAATTTTAGTTTTATTCCTTTAACCGGGACCTAATCAATCCACAATAGACCATAGTGGAGTAAAAGTTTACTCAGCCGCCGCAAATCTCCCTATTTTTACTCCACCACTCGGCGGCGGAGTAAAAATCTCTCCCTCTACTCTGTCTCCGTTTCTCCCCTCGCCCCACCGCCGGCGCGTTTGCCGCCCTTCCCCGCCACCTTCTCTCCTCCCAATGGCCGGACACGGTGGCTGGAGGTCCCCGCCACTAATCTGCAACACGGATCCGCGTCCCCATGCTCACGGGGCGTCATCCACCGGCGCATCCTTGAGCCACGGCTGCTCGCGCGATCCACCCGCTTTTGCCCGATTCGCTGATTTTTCGGAGCTCCCTCTGTCGCGGCCACCGCAGAGGACCTACCTCAACATCCATCAGCGCTTGTGGGGGACATGCGTGGTGGAGATCACTGACCGGGAGACCCACCAACGAAAGTGGATCGGGTCATTCCACACGGCGGAGCTCGCAGCCATGGAATACGACCGGTGGCAAGTCCGGTACCATGGCTCCGCCGCCCGGCTGAACTTCCCGTTCGAGACAGCGCCGGTCCACCTCGTCCCACCGGGGCCAGGTGTGGTGAGCGTGGCGATGGCGCGGGAAGACCGAGAGGCGAGGGAGCGCCTCGAGGCGGAGGCCGCCGCTGCGGCATCCATGGAAGACCTCCGCCGCCAGCACCAGGAGCTCATGGAGGCGGAGCGGGCGTATTCACCGAGAATGGTGGGGAGGTCATTGTCATCTCTGACAACGAGGTGGAAGGCAGCGAGGAGGGCGGCAAGAAAGGAAGCGATGAGGAGGAGTTCGACGTCGCGGAGTGGCGGAGCATCTTCCCCGACTGCGACGACGACGACACCGGCCCCGACCCAGCTCTCACCAAGGGTGGCCTAACGAAGAAGGATTGGCTCGACCTCCACTACGGCCGTTGAAGTTCAGTAATTTTCAGTGTAGTTTTAAGTTTAGTGTAATTTAAGTTTAAATTTATGTTTAATATTCGGTTGTCAAGACTATCTTTGTTGAACTTATGTTTAAATGCGTGCAATTTTTGGTTGAAATTGGATCGAATTTATGCAAATTTACGTTATACTCCGTAAATTTAGGGAATCGGCTAGAACCGACCAAAATTTAGTGAAGTATAACTACCCCACTAAGGTTTACCCGGCCGCATACTCCGCTACTTTTTGGGGATCGGTCAGAAATGCCTTTGGATATTAGTATGAGATTAATATTGTTATTGATATCATTATGATTTATTTATGTATGAAATTAATAAGAAAATTGCTAATTTATCCAACAAGTGCGCGTAATACTCCTTCCACAAAAGTTAAATATAAGCCCAACACCGACCAAGCGTTTAATTTGGTTGCGCTGGTAGAAGTGGAGTGGTAGTGCTCATTAGTTTAGTGCAGGAAAACACTCGGACAGAACACTTGATTTTTTTTAAGTTTCTTGAACAAACAAGTGCGCGCAAGGCTCCATTCACTCCATCTGGATGGATGCAGTTTGCATCAAGAATAGCAAATCCATGAGGATGTACATCTGTTAAACCCCGAATCAAGGGACATTGCTTCCTAAAATGATCAAGATCGTTGCAACTGAACTTAGTGTTAGAACTAGCTACGGTATACCAAAAAGATCCCCGAAGAGAAGGTTGAAACCACCCCGGCCTTTGCATCACCATGATTTTTTTAGAAAAGGAGGAAAACCTCCGACCTCTGCATCTGGACGATGCATACAACCATTTTATTAATTATTAACACAAGACCTTACAAAGTCATACAACAGTAAGACTAAAGCCACCGTCTAAGCAACATATGTTGCTACTCCTATACAGTTGATGAAGGGGCGCTGGTAGTCTGGGCCTAATACCAAATAGATCTCTCAACCAAACCTAACATCTAAGACCCGAGGTCCCAACCAGGACGCCTACCGGGTATGGGCACCCATCAGTCCGGCGTGCTCCTCAACCAGGCCGTCTGCCGGGTATGAGGCCGCCGCAGCCACCTGCCACCAATCCATCTTCAGAGTTGCACTGCTGCATCTACCATGCTCGATCTAGCTGCCGCCGATGCCACCACGATGCCAGACAGCGTCACCCCCTGCGCGAGTCCATCTCCACGCATCGGGCACCGAGTCTCCACTGTGCAACGTCGCCGAGATCCGCCGTCATCAATGAGCAAGATGAATCACCGCTCCTCCTCTTGTCCCCTCCAACCAGGACTTGCTCCAAAACGATGCCCCCAGGAGCGAGAACGATACTGAAGGCGCCGTCATCGTCCGATCCGGTAGACCCAGATCTAGGGTTTCCTCGGAACTTCCCGATTAGGTTGACGTGACTTGCAACAACGATGTCTCGAGAAGGGAACGACGTTTGAGACGCCACCATCGTCCGCCAAGACCTCAGTCAGGTGCGATTTTCATCGGAAGCCGCGTCGTCCCGATCTCGCCACTGGCTGGAACCGAGCGGAACCTCGCCATGAAGACATATGGTGCCATTGAAAAGCCGGTTGAGGACCTCCGGCTGCCCAACCCCGGCCCCATCACGCGCCGCCGGCCGGCCATAGCCTAACCACGACGGATCTGGCCGAGACGCCAGATCCACGGCCACCATCGCCGCCAATCGCATAGCGGAGAATCCCACCGGAGGACCTCGCCAGCCCTAGGTTCGCCAGCTGCTGCCGCACTGCCAGGACGCCATTGTGGCTGCCGCGCGAAGACACCCCGCACGAGGCGCCACATCCGCCTGATGGGATATCCATCGCTTCCCTCCTGCCCTAGCCCTTTAGGCGTCGGGCACCACCACCACCGCGGCCAGTGCCGGCGGCAGCGGCGGCAGAGATTCTGCCTCGCGGGAAGGCTGGCGGCGCGAGGAGTTGGTCCCCCTGGCGTCGCCCTGGTTGGCGGCGCGAGGGGGTCGCGAGATGTAGGCCCTGCATGGAAACAATACCAAAAACATCAACAAGATGAGTGCATAACTTAGACAACTACGATAAGCCATGACAAGATATGAAAAGTCAATTTCCTCCCCAACAACAACACCAACAAATTCAGAAAGGGATACACGCCCTCGCACCTGTAAGGGCATATTTCTCCCTAAGTGGCTTTGGTGATTGATGACAATGCAATTGCGTACTAATCGTGTGCATTGAGCATTTCAGATATCTCATGTCTAGGCACTAGACAATTCGATGCCCCTCGGAGCCTATCGAAGACGGCGGTTCTCTACGTTTCTTTTCCGTGAATTTGAGTCATAAGAAAGCCGTACTATTAAGAGGGGATCCATTTCGGAAAGGTATGGGTGGAATCAACACATACACAACCCTATATGCACCCACAACCTCCTTTCCCTTCTCTGGAGCTTTTCCAATGTTTTTTGTGGTGTTTTCAGCATCTTGCCAGCGATAGTACCGCTAGTGCCCACGGTAGTACTGCTTATGCAGTAGTACCGCCGGGTACTTCCGTGGCACTACCGCTTAGGGTTTCCCCGAGCGTGCAACGTTCTATTGTCGGTCTGTAATTCACGGTAGTTGGGCGGTAGCAGCATGGTAGTACCGCTCCAGCGGTACTACAACCCGTACTACCGTCTCCACTACTGCTTGCGGGGTTTTCTTGTGTGCAAGGTTCTGTTCCCATTTTGCTCCAAGTGGTAGTAGAGCAGCACTCAGACGGTAGTACCGTTTCGCACGGTACTGCCGCCCCTGGCACCCTCTACCAACGCTGCCTCACCAGGTCTAAAACCCTAGGCGGCAGTACCGCCGGGGTCAGCGGTAGTACCGCTCCAGCAGCACTACCGTAGATACACTCTGTGTATTTTTAGGCTTGTGCGGAGTAGTACCACCTAAGTGGTAGTACCGCTCCTAGGAGTGGTAGTACCGCTTAGCTGCGGGCCTGGGCAGAAAATGGTTGGATTTTGGTTCCCCTATATGAAGGAGGGGTCTTCTTCTTCCTAGGGTTGACTTCTTCCCCCCAAGCTCCATTGTCTTTCAAAAGCTCATTCTTGCCCGATCTCTCTCCCTAGCCAATCAAACTTGTTGATTTTCTAGGGATTGGTTGAGAAGGCCCTGATCTACACTTCCACCAAGATTAATTTGATTCCCCCCACTAATCCCTTGTGGATCTTGTTACTCTTGGGTGTTTGAGCACCCTAGAGGTTGAGGTCATGTCAGAGCCATATTCCATTGTGGTGAAGCTCCGTGGTTTCGTTGGGAGCCTCCAATTCGGTTGTTGTAGGATCGAAAGTATGTCTAGAGGGGGGGTGATTAGACTACTTGACCAAATAAAACTTATCCTTTTCCCAATTTTAGTCTTTGGCAGATTTTAGCAAACTTAGCACAAGTCAAGCAATCTTAACACAATTCAGGCAAGCATGCAAAGAGTATATGAGCAGCGGAAAGTAAAGCATGCAACTTGCTAGAATGTAAAGGGAAGGGTTTGGAGAGTGCAAACGCAATAGGAGACACGAATGTTTTTGTCGTGGTTCTGATAGGTGGTGCTATCGTACATCCACGTTGATGGAGACTTCAAACCATGAAGGGTAATGGTTGTGCGAGTCCATGGAGGGCTCCACCCAAGAAGGGTCCACGAAGAAGCAACCTTGTCTATCCCACCATGGCCGTCGCCCACGAAGGACTTGCCTCACTAGCGGTAGATCTTCACGAAGTAGGCAATCTCATTACCCTTACAAACTCCTTGGTTCAACTCCACAATCTTGTCGGAGGCTCCCAAGTGACACCTAGCCAATCTAGGAGACAACACTCTTGAAGAAGTAACAAATGGTGTGTTGATGATGAACTCCTTGCTCTTGTGCTTCAAATGATAGTCTCCCCAACACTCAACTCTCTCTCACAGGATTTGGATTTGGTGGAAAGAAGATTTGAGTGGAAAGCAACTTGGGGAAGGCTAGAGATCAAGATTCATATGGTAGGAATGGAATATCTTGGCCTCAACACAAGTGTAGGTGGTTCTCTCTCAGAAAATGTAAGTTGGAAGTGTAGGTTCGTTCTGATGGCTCTCTCCATGAATGAAGAGGAGGTGCAGGGGTATATATAGCCTCCACACAAAATCTAACTGTTACACACAACTTGCCAATCTCAGTGGGACTGAATTGAGAAATTCGGTCAGACCGATTCAGCAAACCTAGTGACCGTTAGGATTTTCGGTGGGACCGACATGCAACTTGGTAGGACCGATATGGTTAGGGTTAGGGCATCACGTAATCTCGGTGAGACCGATTACACAAACTCGGTGGGACCGATTTTGGTAATAAGCTAACCAGAGAGTTGGTCAGATAAACTCGGTGGGACCGATTCGCTCATCTCGGTGAGACCGAAGTGTTACGAAAGGGAAACAGATAGTTTACATTGTGATCTCGGTGGGACCGATTGCTCATCTCGGTGGGACCGATTGCTCATCTTGGTGGTACCGAAACATTACGAAGGGAAACAGAGAGATTACAATCCCGTCTCGGTGAGACCGAGATCCCTATCGGTGAGACCAATTTGCCTAGGGTTTGTGGCAGTGGCTATGACATCTGAACTCGGTGGCGCCGGATGGAAAGAATCAGTGGGGCCGAGTTTGACTTTTGGTTTAGGTCATATGTGGATGTGATAAAGTAGTTGAGGGCTTTGGAGCATATCACTAAGCATTTTGAGCAAGAACCTCATTAAGCAACACCTCATCCCTCCTTGATAGTATTGGCTTTTCCTATAGACTCAATGTGATCTTGGATCACTAAAATATAAAATGTAGAGTCTTGAGCTTTGAGCTTGAGCCAATCCTTTTGTCCTTAGCATTTTGAGGAGTCCACTTTTCTCATCCATGACATGCCAATCATTGAGCTTTCCTGGAATATTTATCTTGAAATAGCATTAGCTCAATGAGCTATATGTTGT